TTGTCGACTGACTCCCAATAATACACATAATCTTTTCGTCTAAATAGAATAAAAACTATGTTTAGTCTATAAAACTAGTCGCGATAGCCTTTTTTTTCTCGAATAATTTGAGAATAGAATCAGTTAACAATATGTGAGTTTTGCCATATCGATAAGTAATTTACCAATCACATGAAATTTACGGTAAATGATATTTTAGTAGGACTGTCGAATAGAAAAACTCGTGCATTAAAATATATGGACTAGACGAACATTTCTATCGACCTATGATCACATAGAAAAGTATCTACACAACAGAGACTCAACCATCTTAAACCGATTGAGTGATACTTTTTGTTTTCAAGTCTATAATAATGTGACTTTTTATCAATATATGCCTAAAACTCCACGATCAGGATAGAGTCTAAAATCGAAAATTCATATGTCTATCTGTTTGTAATACAGTGGTTAAAAGGACCATTTTATAGTATTAAAAAATTGGTTTTGTCAAACATCTTTCCGTAATAAGTCAAGCCATTTTTTGCTTTGTTCTAGCATCACTCTTAAAGAGCACTTATAATCAGATTTATACTTATCAACATAACTCGATAGCTTTAGTCTAGCATAGAGTGTATCAATTATCGATGTATATTACTTTTATATAATAGAGAAAACGTTCAAATTGAGATAAATATGACTTCAGTACATCGATATCTATAATGATCACCTGTGTTTTACTGAATCACTGACCAATCATTTTTCAATAAACTTTGATAGTCTTGCATTTTATCTATCGAATGACAAAAACTACAGCTCTCAAACTCTATCTGTTTTGTAGTTAATATAAAAATATACATGAGTACTACTTTTCTTTATGAAAAATAATTTTTCTTTACCGATATGGAGCGGTTGAATAAAGAATTCCACTAAATGATAGATTCTTTTGATCATGTTGATGTGTAAAAAACCATTTTTTTTTCATCCAAAACGAAGAATTAAATTGATTAATTAAGTGATGATATGTAAAATTATTATTCTCAATATAATCATTATGATTTATATCAAATATGCGTAAATATGGCATGTGAGATATTATTAATTCTTCCCATCGTTTAGCATTTAAACATTCTTCATCAAAATGTGTTGTAAGACGTAAAATTTGAACGTGATAAAAGAATTCTTTGATAATCTTTTCAAATTCATTAAAATATACGAATTCAAATTGAAGAGAAACATATTTTAAATATTTTAATTCAATATGAGGTAATTTTTCTTGTTTCACATAATCATCAAATTGAACAAGACAATTTATCGATAAATGTTGAAGTTGAGGAAGATGCCATAATAAATTTGAAAATCTATGAAATGGAAAACGACCATTTATTATCAAACATTCAATAGGACTGAAATCACGATGAGTAAAATAAAGTTGAACTGATTTATCTTCGAGATGTTTAATTTCATATTCAATTTTACAATATTTTAATTTTTGTAAATGAAAAATATTTGAAAAAATAACATCTAATGATTGATTGTAACCAATAAGAGAAATAGTTAATGAATGTAATTTTGGCAATTTTATTAAATAACGAAAAACTTTAGTAAAATATCTAATTTGTACTTTATCAAGAATTAATATTTCAAGATGATCAAAATTTAAAATAGTACGTGGTGGTGAAAAAATAATATCAACCATAAATGAATTTGTTAAACGAAGTAATTTAATTCTATGTCGATTTGGTATAATAATATTTTGATAATAATCTTCGAAATTTAATTTTGATATTGTTGAAATATTGATTTTAGTTAAAAAATTTGAATTAATAGTTAGATTTTGAAAACGTTTACTAAGATTATAAAAACCTTTATAAATATCATAAGGATCAAGATATTCAAATATTTCATATAGAATCTCATTTGCTAAGTCTTCAAAAAGATATCTAAATAAAAAAAGAAATAAAAGATTATTACTTATATAATGAAAGAGAATATATCTGACTTATTTAAATTGATCACTGTTACTAAAACAATAAATAGAAAACATTAGATATAATAATTATTATTAACGTGAAATATTACTTTGATCTTCGAATTTTTGTTTTTTATTACTAGTTGAATTTTGAACTAGATTATTGTATTGCACTTTCGTTCGTTTCATGTTTAATATAGTTGTGAATAACGATGACACTGATCAATAATGTCGTTTTCGATCGATGATGAATTTATATACGCGTACAACAATAAACACATAAGCCTCAAATAGACTGACTTTATTTCAAAGTGAATTAACCAATGTAATTGGCATTGTTACGTAGAAATATCAAGCATGTTTCTTAATTCACTTTGAATTAAGTCGGTCTGTTTGGGGCCAGAGTCTTTTTCTTTTCGGCGCATATTGAACAGAGTAGACAAAAAGAAAAAGAGAGAGAGAGAGACCGATATTTTATCACATTGACGACGACTCATGAACTACGGACAAGTGAACAAAGACCATAGGTGACCCGAGTTATGTCTTTTCAATGGAAAGACAATCGATTGTATGATAGTTAGAATAACTTTTTCATGGCGATAATACAACGAATTTAAGAAGAAATAATTATGGAAGAACCTCAGGAACTTATTTATATATTGCATATGTGTCAAATTTTATTGACCATCATTTTATCGTAATTTTAGCCTATGATTTAATATATGCCAAGAAAGTGAATGATGACGGTATTTCGAGCTTAGACTACAAACACAGAAGTAGGTCTATCATCGAGCAAGATATTCGGAAGTTAAGTGGAAAGCTGCATGTCCAAATAATTCATGTCTGTCGGCTCCGTGTATAGATTTATATTCAAGTTTGGTCTACATTCAGTTACGAATATCGATACAGAAGAGCTGAAGTCAACAATGTCATATTTGTTGTCTTTCTTCTCAAAATTTGATTATTTTTAATTCTTTAATTAACAATTCAGAATATAGTTATGGATGTATGTTGATATTTGCCATTTTTTGTTTGAATTTCGTCAATTTCAAACATCATGAAAGATGATAGTGGAATGCGAATAATTACTTCTTGAATTAATGATAATTTTCTTCTAATTGAATATTTTGATAGTGAAAACATAAGAGAAACTTCATCTTCATGATAAGAACGATGTGATCGAATGTAAAGCTAGTGTTTTTATAGATAAAAATGCAGAATATAATTTTGAAAAGTAACAACTAAACGATGAACGAATTGTCCTGAATCATTTCCTATTCTATTTTACAATAAGCAAAATCAAAAAAAAAATAATTGTCCTATAAAAGCTACAATGAATTGCTCAGCTCAATATCGAATATAGATTGATATATCCTAACGAGATGACAATTATTCTTAGTTTCATTAGATATCCATAGGAAATGCATTGGGCACCAGTATTACTGATCCATTACTAATAATTAATATTTTTATTTCATTCGATTATAGCCTAAAGACTATTGATAGTTCTGAACCTAACATTGACACTAGGTATACCAGTATTAATAATGAATTGGTATTAGAGAGCTATGAGAAATCTTATCGAATTATAAAAAGCTCCGAAAAAAACGAATAGTCTTCTACCTTATCTCCAGTATTATATCTATTTTAGACTTTAGGAACGGTAAATATCAACCAATTGAATAATATTATTTGAACCGAAAATTTACTTGACAGATAAAAGTGATTTTTAAGAATTTAATATATCGTCAAGAAAACATTTTGATCTTTGTCATATGTCTGAAGTTCGAAATCGAAGAGTGACCTATGTCTTAAAATAGTTCTCTTGTAAGTAATACAAAGGTTCATCGAATATGAATATTTCAATAATTTACTTAAACAATTGTTATACTTTTCCAAAAATACTCAAAATTCATTTTAATCAATCTTTCTAACAACAAGCTATGAAATATATTTTTATTTCAGACTAACATCTCATCAAATTTATTTGGTACAATTTCTTATTCAAATAATCTTCTATCAGTTAATTTAAATTTAAATGATAATATTGGTTTATGTACAATAACATGAATAATATCACCATTACATTTTTTCCTTTATTCAATTAACAAATAAAAATAATCTTGAACAAATCTATAATAATATTAATGAAACACGTGTGGGTGTGAGTATACCACGAGAGAAGATAAGATCCTCGCGCTCACACCCACACCTACGAACTCGGAAAAATCGCACAGGTCAGCTTCTTTTTGTTCAGAACTATATAAAATAAAAACCCAGATTGAAAAGAAATCACTGTTGAAGATAAAAATATTGATTTTTTACTAGCATTTGAACAAGTTTGAATACATAAAAGTCTGAAAAACTACTGAATGACATTCTGTCTTAATTACCAATCTCACTGAAAAGACTTCACTAAGACACGAAGCATTAAGTAAAATACAAATCAATGTCATAGCTTGATAGAACACATAACATTGCAAAACTAAAGTGTAAAAGCCCTCCTATTCATCCGAAGCAGCTACATAAAAATTCTTCATTATTGAAAATCGACATGATGCATGCATCACATGCAATGGTCGATTTGAAACATATACATGAATGGCATACCTTGCATAAGGCACCAGTAAATGCCCGATCAGAGGAGAAAGTCCTATGTTCAGCGTAAAGCTTCACATAGGATGCTAGTATCCAATTAATTATTGATAACGAAAAATTTTCATGTAACTGTGTCAGATCATTACGAAGGCTTTTACACTTTAGTAAAGAAGTGCTTGTGAAGTCAAAGAGAAAGATCGTGCGATACATAAATTCTTATTCTATTAAACTTTTTCATGAACAAGTCAAATATGAATGTGCAATTATTTCAATTGAATCTATCTCTTATTATACATTTGTGAGTAGTCTAAGTAACTTGTTATGTAGACTTTAGATAGAGATAAAAATTATTGTATTTTTATTGTTACATGTTAATGGAAAAGAAAACAAAAAAATGTTATGTACATAACAATGATTAAATGATTAAAATTGAATTGATTGTATTATTTCTTGTTCATCGAAAAATAATATTTTTTGATTGTTGAACAATATAAACAAATCTTCGTTTAAGAATATTTCGAAATGTTTTACTTGATAATGTATTAATATAAAAAGTTTTACAATAATTCATAAACCAAAACCATCGTCCAATATAATTAAATATGCTATAGATTAATAAATATAATGGTTGACTAGGTGTTGGATTATAAATTCCATAGAGATAATTAACAATATATGGTATATTTAAAATAACTGTTATACTAACTTGAAATAAAAGCATTGTTATTAGATGTTGATTACTTCGATGTGAAAATGAATTAATTGATAATTGTTGTGGATAAGTTCGATGAGAAATAAATTTCACATTTCGAAATATTAATAAACCAAATATAATTAATAATAGAGGTACAATAATACCATTAAAAATAGAATAGAAAAATCCATCAAGAAAAATAAAAACACCTGCAAGATTTAATTGTGGTGTACATCGTATTGAACTTGTTGGTGTTATTTGAATACGATTATATGATATTATAATATGTAAAGAAAATATAAGCCAAAAAAACAATATAATCAAAGCTAAAATACGACTAATTTTTAATTGATTAAATTTTTGTAGTTGATTATTTGATGAACTTGCACAATAACGATCAATTGATGCAAATGTTATATAAGTTGATGCAAGACAAGGAAGAAGAAAATAGAAATAATTTGTGAGTTTACACCATAGATTAGTTTTTGTAGCAATTATGAACATTGTAGGATTAAATAAACTAAGTAATTGCATTAAAATAAATGTATTAATAATACAAAAATCAGTAATTGAAGTTGAAATAAAATATGTTGAACATGATTTACAACGAAATCGTTTTTGAAGAAACATAAAAATATTCAAAACTGAACCAATAGAACCAATAATATACAAGAAAATAATAATATATTTTTCCATTATTGGTAAAATAATTGAAGCTCGAATTAAATCTAATGATACAGTATTAGGTGAATTGGTTGAAATATTTGACATTGTTCTTGTTAAAAAAAAAATAGTTGAAATGAACTTGTAGTTGTCTTTTTCTTTTTAATTAAAAAATATGATATTTAACTTTGTAATGAAATAACCTAAATTTTAGTAATACATTGGATGCATTAATCTTATAGATGAATATATAATTTTAATTTATAATTGAAATTCTATGCGCATTTTTCGAATGAGAATATGGCTAAGATTAGAAAAATGCAAATAAGACGTTCACAATGAACTCAAGGTTAATACGCATTTGTTAAGGAAGTAAGCAACGAGTGCAATTACTTTACTTAACGACTTTTATACGCTAAAATGCTGTCAATAAAACTATCATTTATTCATTCGTAATGCAAGATTGACTTTAAAATTAATTCATCACACAATATCTTGATTTAAAATGGCAAAAAACAACTGATAATTAAAAACTAGAATTATCAGTATCAATTTTGTAGATGCTTTAACCATCGCCAAAAACCTCTTCATTGTCGTTTAATTACGACATGAATAGAAAATAATGGGTCATGAAGAATCGTCCTCTGCGTATTTTTGAAATTTCTTCTCTACTATTCCCTTGATATTTGAGAAAGAACAAAAAATAAATATCGAAAAATGTGAATGAACTGGCAAAAATTTATCGTGACTTGTTCAGAATGGTTTCATTATCAACAGCACTGATTCTATCATGTTATTGGCTCCTTCTGACTTTCCTTTTACAATTCGTACAAAAGTGAATATATGAAAAATGAAATGATGTATTCCATTCAACTAATGATACACTAAAATGATTTGGATACAGATCACGTTGGAAACTATTGGTGCTTCAATAAATCAAATCTCTTTCGCATTAGAATTGATAGGAACAAATACTGTTTAGCAAGAGAAAAAAAAACCTTCACTGTATATATCTATTTGACTATGAAATAACCATATTTACATTATACTAATAAAATTCTCTCATCTAATTGTTTGAGAATATACTGGAAAGTCTATACGTATATATTAAGAAATCGAATTCTTTTATCATTTCAAATTCGTAATAATGACTTATTCTAATGAAAATAAGACACTGTTTTGGGCGTCTCTAAAACACACAGTTTCAAAATATTTTTTTTTTTGTACATCCTTGAATTATGTTTAAACTTCTGAAGAAGCGAATGATCGAGAGCATCGTGTTGAATTTGGAGATTCTCTTACAGAGAAGAATATAGCAATAACTGTCATGTAGTGAGCGTGAGCTTGAGTCTTTTTTTTCAACCAGGTTTACATGCAGACCCTTTCTAAAAAAAGAAAAATTGACTTTTATGTCTTCATTATTTTAATAAAAATGTTTTACCATTTGTCCATTATCTTCAACACATATGCAGTTGAAAGTTGAGAGAAGATTCACACCTCAATAGTATAGATCAACAACATACATGTACGTGACTGAAGCCAGAATCTGAAACTATATGATATCTTCAACTTGGTGACTTTTCAAGTGAAGTTTTTCGTACATCATAAATCAATTTGCTATTTTTATGCTAATATCTTGTCATATAGAAAAATAAAACCTGTAAATACTAAATCTTAAAAGGATAAACAAATCACAATCATATACACGCCTACATACAAATAATAGTTTCATCATTATAAAGATTTATGATAAGAACACCTCACAAATCGTACATCACTCGATGTAATTTTTTAGATTGATTCCAAATATGTCTGCATTTTTCTCTCAAAGTGCTTTTATAAGAAACAAAATCATCAGATCTTTGTTTTTTTTGGTGACTAGAACGACATTTTGATTTATCAAAAAATTGTTATTCAAATCTCGAAAAAGTTGGCTATTTTGATCATCGTTTCTGATTTATTTCACAAAATCATTTTGCAATAAGTTAACGTTTTATTCAAAAACAGAAATTTATCTATTGTTTATGGGGAGTGGGATCAAAAAAACAAAACCTAATCCCATGAATGACTTACATCATAAGAAAAAAAAATTCAAAGAGTATGATATACATTGATTTTTTGTTTTAACTAAATTTTATTTGAACAATAAAAAATAACAGTTTTTTTTTATTATTACATAAAAGTTCTTTTTTGTGATGATTTTTGTTTATTATCATATTGATCTTTTTTTTCCATCACTGTTTCCCAAATATCAGTTTCATCTTGTGTTGAATATTGTTCTTTATTGTTCACATTATTTATTGTTTCATCATCTTTCATTTTAAGTTTCTGAATATCACGTTTCGAACGAAATAAAGTTTCAATTAAATAAAAACTTTTTTTCATTTGAAATAAACTTTTACCAAAATCCATACGAATTTTAATTGATCGTTGTGGTGTTTCAATACTATCTAACTTTTGTGGAATTATTTTATATTGATTATCTCGAAATAAAATTTTCTTTTTACGTAATACACCTATAACTGGATGATAAAATAATGCATATGAATGACGTACAGGTGAATAATACAATCGAACTGGCATTCGAGAAAAAAGAATTAATACTAAAGAAAAAATATTTAAATAAAAAAAACAAAAAAAAAACACTATTATTTAAAACCTATTCCAAAAGCTGAACTAATCATTGCTGCAGTAGAATAAAGAATCCATGGTGGTATATTTTGATTAGTATCATTAATTAATGGTTCAATATCAAGCATTTCACGATGAAAATGAATTATAATAAATGTTAACATTCCTATACAACCACATGTACATAATAAATGCATTAAACTATACATTCGTTGTCTAGGCATTGTATATATTAATTCATAATCTTGTTCTAATTGAAATTTTTCTCGAAAACGAATATGTTCTTGTAATTTAAGACGACGAGTTTTTTCATCATTTGGTTCATGAAATGGATTTTGAATAGTTGATGATGAAGGTTTTAATGAACTATATTTTGATTTTAATGTTGATGATTTAGCTAGAAATATTGTTTGAGAAACATTAAGTGGACGTAACTAAATAAAATTTATAAATCTTTTAAGTTAATTCAAGAAATTCTTTATATTTAAAGTTAAAATAGTTCTCAATCAAGTCTTTAGAATAATTATTAGATAGTTTTTTTTGTAACATAGACAAGCTGTTAGTTACTTACATGTAATACGTTTGTTTGTTTCTATAGGAAAGCGAAGAATTATGACTTTGAAACTTCGCATAAAGATGAGAATAGTCTATTGTAAAAGGATTACTTTGACATCGCTCATATATATATCAGAGATGTCCATCGCGGCTGAAAATCTGCCGCTGCCGCGCCGCGGCCTTAGAAAAAAAAAAGCTGCCGCACCGCTGCCGCGCCGCGACGGTTTATAAAAAAATGTTGCCGCGACGCTGCCGCACCGCGATGAATTATAAAATAAACGTGCCGCTGCCGCGACGGTTTTCAAAAAAGTGTTTCTAATTTCACTGCTGTGACTATATTTGACCAGAGATATGGGTACTAGTCCATCAGATTTATTCAATATCAGGGCGTTTCATTTGTAAATCCTGAAATTCTATTAAATTCATACAGTTTTTCAATGTCCTCCAAAAAAAATCCTGCCGCTGCCGCGGTGATTTTTTAAAAAACCTGCCGCTGCCGCGCCGCCACCGCCATCGCCGCGATGGACATCTCTGATATATATACTGGTAGATTCGATTTTCTTATTTCAGAATAGGAATAAATAAAAAGATCTAAAATTTTCACAATAAAATATTCTTATTATCGGTTGTCTCTATACAAAGTTTTAAGTTGAAATTTAAAAAATAGGTTCTTGAGGGTAACTATGACATTGGCTTGAAAAATATAGTAAAAACGCAGTATCTCCACAACGATAGACTAAGAATCCGAACTCTTCTCCGAGTATTCATAGCTCACTAGAGTATATCTAATACAAAAAATTTCGAATCAAAAGCAAGAAATCAGTAGAAGTGCTTTTCTTGTTAGTACATTATGTTGTCTACGTCAACACTTTTGACAAAACACATCTTAATCAAAAGAAATCTAAACATCAGGCACGTACCGAAGGGGAGGTCCATGGGGTTCGCCCTCCCCCCTCAAGACTGAAGACGCCTGTAGGAGGTACAGGTATACGTTCTTTTCCCAGCAAATTTTTGTAATTTTCCCACGAAGTTGATTGAATTTATCTGATTATTTATGACATCTATCAGGAAGATATGGGTGCATTCTTAAATAATTCTCAATGACTATTTATTCAATTATTTTTAATGTTGTTATTTTTCTAGATTGTTGTATTATGAAAGGATGAGCATCAGTTCTATTGATATATTTGAATTACACTTACAAGGGATGATTGTATTGATGAAAGATTTGATAAATATATTGATCGACGACATAGAAATAATAATGTTAAAGACATCTAAAATTTCAAGATCTACTATTTTAAACTAATGATTAAAAATATTAAAAGATTATTATTTTTTTTTATTAAATAGGTGAATAAGCACGATAAGCTAAAATATCATTATTAGATTTAAAATCAATAGATGTTTGTTTATCAATAAGAAAAACACTAGGTTCATTAAATGAAATTTTTCCTTCATTCATTGTTCCTTGTCCTTGAATAATAACAATTAAACTTGGTTTATCAATTGCATTAATTAAACCATTTTTTCCTTTAATTTCTTCAACAATAAAATCATCAATATTTGATACTTGTCTTGGATCAAATTGAATTATATTTTCAGATATTTTCTTTCCAAAAAATTTTGTTTGTTCAATAGTTAATGGTTGATAATCAAGCATATCAATTAATGTTGAAATATCTTTAAATTTTGGTGTTAAACCAGCACGTACAACATTATCTGAACATGCCATACATTCAATACATTGTCCATGTAAATAAGCATGTGGAATATTAGCTTTAAGAAGTATAGCTTCACCTGGATTTAATATAATATAATTAAAAAAATATATTGAAAATAAACCAACATCACCATTTGGAAATTGTTTATTAAGACGTTGAAATAAATTAGATAATTCATTATATGAATCTGATATTGATAAAATATATTCTAAATGATCATTAATACATTGTGATATAATTATTGATGATGATTGCATTAAATTTGAATAGAGTTGTTTAAGTAATGTTTGTTGTATTGATAAATCCATATTTAAAGAAATAGCATTTGAAAATTGTTCTATAAGATTTTTATCACATAATATTTCTAATTGTTTATATTTTTTTAAAAATTCATTTATTTCATTATATGGACGAAATCCACATAAACATTCAAATTTTGTTAATGCAATGGCCATTTCAGGTTTATGATTATCATCAGGATATTCTTTTGGATTTTTTTTATGTAATATTTTAGCATGTTCTTTATTTGGATGTGCTTGAATACTTAAAGCTGTTTCAATACTTAAGATTTTAAATAAAAATGGTAAATCAATATTTAAATATGATTTTAAACTTATTTGATTATTATCAATTAAATATGATTCACCTTTTAAATGTGTTCCCATCCAATATTCAGCATAAGGTTGTGTAGATATAATTGAAGAAAATTTTGAAGCAAGTTGTGCAACAAGTGATGATGAACCAATCATACCCCATGCATAAGGTTGAACTGTACCACGTATTGGATGCATTTTAAATATATATATATATGAAATTAATTTTTTTTGATTTCTTAAAAGAAAATTAGAAATGTTGATGACTTGATAGATGACAAAAATATTTTATTAAAAGTTGTAGTTAAAGCGTTGGATCAAGAGACAAAAAAAAACAAACAGTCGTTTTAAAGATTTTGTTGTCGTCTCAAATTTTCTCTTATCATAGATCTTCTTGAATTTGTTACATTCTGAAATAGATGAATTTTTCATATGATATGATAAATAGAAGTATTCCGTTTGAGTTGAAAATTTCAAAATGAAAATTCTTATTACGAATTTTTTTCGTTTTATCATATAATATGCAATAAAATGACTATAACTCGAGAAGAAAAGTCAATATTTTTCATCTAAATGATGAATAATACGTATGAATAAAACATCAGCTGTATCAATTGGAAAGATTTTCTTGTAAAAGTGAGAAAAAAAAACGATTTTTCCTTTACTTATTCGCATAGACTGACCATTCAGATGTTCGTAAGATCGAAAGCAGAGAAGATCAAGAAATCGCTTCTTATGAATGGCTATTATATATGTGTGATGATTAGATATATATATAACGACACTTCTATGAAGTGAACTAACTGACGAGGGAACATTCCCAACTAATCAATTGCTTTTGAGCTGATATTTTGGCCATAAGTAGGGGACCACGAGACTAGAATAACCCTAGCTGCTAGGCCTTTGGGGCTGAGTTACGACTGTTTTACTGCATTTTTTTAATCTATGGCATCGGGTTACCTGCAAAAGTAAATTATCGAATTTCGACCTAAAATTTTGTCCATGACGAGGTCTTAAGGGCCACTAGAATACCCTGAAAATTTCAGACAAAACGAATTCATCCTTCTTCAGATATTGAATTTTTAAAATCCGACCATTCTGCAGAAAAAATTAGCAAAATGTTGGTATTTTAAAAATTCAATATCTGAAGAAGGATGAATTCGTTTTGTCTGAAATTTTCAGGATATTCTAATGGCTCTTAGACCTCTTCATGGACAAAATTTCAGGTCAAAATTCAATAATTTACTTTTGCAGGTAACCCGGTGCCATAGATAAAAAAATCCAGTAAAACGGTCATAACTCAGTCTCAGCAGCCCAAATCCTCTTAGTGTCATTCTAGTCTCAGGGTCCCCTACTTACGGCAAAAATATCAGCTCAAAAGCAATTGATCAGTTGGGAATGTTTCCTTACAACTGTTATATTTAGTATTAAATAACTTTTAACATCAAAAGTAATTCAGTACTAATAAGAAAAAGTTTCCAAATGATTCATACGGTTTTCAATGATATTTTGTTCATATATTGAAAATATTACTATAAGAACATATGACTTTATGAAGTTTCTCATGAACATTATAATCAATTTTATTGATTTTTGCAAATACACGAACAAATCCATTAATAGAATTTCAATACGAAAATTTGACTGATATTTAGATAATATATGTTTGACATATTTTTCTTTCATTCGATTAGAATTATTACAATCAACATGTGTTACTTTAATAAATTTTTTTCTTTATTTTTTTTTGATAAATCTAAAACAAAAAAAAAAAGGTAATTTAAATCATATTATTTAATTTATTTTAAATTCAATGAAAAAAAAAAACAAACAAAATACAATTGTGAAGTTTATTAAAGTATTTGCTACGACACTTCAAGTGTGATCACCGTGATATTAAGGTGACACAAAATTTCAATTAATAAATTCAACGCTGCATAACACAATATTGACGCTGTACAAGATGTGCCTTACTAGTTGTTGTGTCACAACGACGATTAAATCGAGAAATGAGTCTTATACTCAAATAATAGTAAATGAGTTCGTTAAATACCAATTAAATGTTTATATTGATGCTGCAACCGTTGTTCATTGAGATGCTGATCTGAAATAGAAAAATAATCACTGAAAAATGACAGATGTACATTTCAAATTTTATTAACAATATATTAAATTCTATCATAAGATTTAATTACGATAAATTAGACTATTCGTTATGTCAAGGATAAAATTAAATTGTTTAAAATATTCAAATAACAAATGTATTGATCAATTACTTAAAGATTTCATTCAATCAAAGAATAAAAAAACAAAATTAAATTAACTGCTATTCTAATTTTAATTGACAAATAATTAATAAAAATAGAAATCATCTTCATCATCGTTATTTTTTTTGTTGTTGTACCGGATTGGTCAAATCTATGAACTACTGACATCTTCGAGTTTACCTTCATATTTAAGATATTAATGCATTTATATCAATCTTCAATAATTTGAAATAAAAAATTTAAAAAAATATCATTATTCAATTTAAATTTTCTCAAAAACAAAAATTAATATTAAACATCTAATCCAATGTTTATTCATAAAAATCCATATTTTTTTCAGTGGGGGTCAACAGTAATCATCAGTATTCACTTGCTTTTGAATTTAAGTTAAAATCAACTAAGACTTGTTAAAATGGTTTGTTTAATTATATCTTTCTTTTTTTGTTATTTCAATCTTTTCATTTATTTTATTTATTCTTAGGCCGCTTCGCGACCTCTTGTAAGTGTGTACGATGAAAAAGGACAATCAACAGGACATTCAGTCGTTTTACCAGCCGTTTTTCGTGCTCCAATTCGTACTGATATTGTTAATTTCGTTCATGATCAAATGAGACGTAATAAACGTCAAGCTCATGCTGTTAGTGATAAAGCTGGTATGAAAGATTTATTTGTATTTCTATTCAAACGTATTTTGTTGATTAGGTGAACAAACATCTGCTGAATCATGGGGTACTGGTCGTGCTGTAGCTCGTATTCCACGTGTACGTGGTGGTGGTACACATCGATCTGGTCAAGGTGCATTTGGTAATATGTGTCGTGGTGGTCGAATGTATGCACCATTAAAAGTATGGCGTAAATGGCATAGAAAAATTAATTTAAAACAACGACGTTATGCAATTGTTAGTGCTATAGCTGCATCTGGTATTCCATCACTTGTTTTAGCTCGAGGTATATTTTAATAAGGAGAAAAAAAAAACAATTTTTCATTTCTTAATTTAGGTCATAGTATTGAAACTGTACCAGAAATACCATTGATTTTATCGGATAAAATTCAAGATTTAAAAAAAACTAAAGATGCTGTCGCTGTTTTACGTAAAATTGGTGCATGGTCTGATATTCTTAAAGTTTATGCATCAAAACATACACGTGCTGGTAAAGGAAAAATGCGTAATAGACGAACAGTAATGAAACGTGGTCCAGTGATTATTTATGATAAAGATAATGGTGTTAAAAAAGCTTTTCGTAATATTCCAGGTAAGAATATTATTTTTAAAATATAAAAATAAAATTTTAATCCTCTTATCTTGGGAGAACATTATTCATTTAATATAAAATGTATCTCCAAAAACTGAGAGGTATAGTAAAAAAAAACAAGAGATTGTTTACGTCTTCGGAAATATTTCTTTATCTATGAAATATTTCTTCTTCATTTTGAACAAACAAAGTTTAATTTTTGTAGTAGATAAAATTCTTTCATCTACAGTCATCATCACATACTTATTTTTCAGACAAATAAAAATGTGCGATTTATTTACACTATAGAGTATTTTGCATCAGTGGCGGATCTAGGATTTTGCCAGAGTGAGGGGAGCTACTTGTTTTTTGAGGCAGTAAGAAGTATAGGTCAGCGCGAATGGAATTATCTTTGTGAGACTTCTATGTTGTTGGATAAGGATAAAATCTAAAGAAGACTGTCAATGATTGTCCGTGCTGTTTGATACTTCTCTAAGAATGGACTCATGTATTTTTCAAACTTCATAGGATAATATCTTTTAGTTATTTTACAAAAATTGAATTTCTAAGTTATTGAATTCTTTAATATAAGAACAATATATGTTTGATATATCTCTGTTTCTAAATAGTTAATCAAGATCTATTTAAAAAATCTATGTTTAATTTTAGGTGTATCTTTATTAAGTGTTGAACGATTAAATTTACTTCGTTTGGCACCAGGTGGTCATGTTGGTCGATTCGTTATTTGGACAGAATCAGCCTTTAAAAAACTTGATGCACTTTATGGTACATGGAGTAAAAAATCTCAACTTAAAGTTGATTTCAAGTAAGATATATTATGTATGACGTTTGTGTCTTGCCTCATCGATCCGCATTAGAGAATTTTAATCTTTTTTGTTGTTTTTTATAAATTTCAAAATGAGGCTATAATAAATATGACTTTCTACATTCCTGGAAGATATCATATTCAATTGAGAAATATATTCCTATAATGTTGAGAAACAAATTATTATAATAAAAAGAAAACAAATGGTTTTTTTTTGTTTATTTTAGTCTTCCACAACCAATGATGACAAATAGTGATTTAGGACGTTTACTTAAAGCATTTGAAATTCAAAGTGTACTTCGTGCACCAATGTATGTATAAAATATTTTTATTTTTTGACAAAAAAAATAATATAATATAATATAGAAAACGTCAAGCACGTCGTAAAGTAAAGAAGAATCCATTGAAGAATATTGGTTTAATGTCAAGACTTAATCCATATGCTTCTGTACAAAAACGTCAAACACTTTTACAACAACTTAAAGGACGACGTACAGGCACAACAGCTGAATCAAAAGTATATAATATTTTTTTATGAATTTTCAATTTTTCAATTCTCTTTTAATATATATATATAGACTGCAGCTCGTAAACTACGTACTCATGCATCATTAAAAGCTAAACAATTATCAGGTGTTAATATAGTTAAAAAAACTAAACAACAACAAATTGGAAATACAACAATGAAAACAACAACAGCAACAAAAACAAAAACAACTGTATCAACAAAATCTTCGTAGAAAAATCGAAAAAAAAAAATATTTATCTTCTTTCTTTTCCGTTTTGTTTTGTTTTTATATAACATCATACACACTGGATATATATTTGTTGTTATTACCGATAGAGAAAAAAAAAGAAATCGAAGAACAACAACAACAACAAGAATAAATTAAATAAATAAGAAGAAATAAATGAATGAAATATTTGAGATTGTTGAATTATTTTATTTAATTATACATATGATCAATGTTTTGATTGAACATAGTTATTTTAGGAAATCAATAATTTAAATTTTTTTTTCGATATTTTTATTTTCTACATATTATAATTTATAAATTAAATCATTTTAAATTTTATATTATTAATCGTAAATTAATTTGAAAATAGAAACACTATTGATATTTGCTTAGCATTGGATTGATCATCATCATGATGACTAAATATTATTAACAATCTAGAAATATTTTCATTATCAATCAAACATTTGTTAATTACTTTGAATAGATTTAATCAGTTTTATTTATTTAAATTCTTTGAAATTTCAAAATCAGTTTATTAATATAAAGTACAGCAAGTTTAAATAACCTAAGAAGCAATATGTAGAATAATCAAGACAACTTGGTTTTTTTAGCTTTGATTGAGATTGTATGGTTCATAACCATTAACACAATGAACCGTATGTTTATCTTGAAGTGTCCTAACAGTTTGTTCGACTTGATCAAATGTTAAAATATCACGAGCATATTCTGAATGAATTTTATAACATGCAACAAGAAAACGAAGTTTTATATCTGATCTTGTTACAGATCGAAATGCTTTAGCTATATTATAATGAAGATGAGTACGTTCATCATTATTTAAACCTTGTAAATAAAATTCTCGTGCTTGAACATATTCGGCATCTGGTGGAAGTTGATTTTCATGACGTGAATGAGATTTTCGAGCTAAATATCCTTGTAATGATTGAGGTTTTTCATTACATATTAAATCAGGTCGAGCATATAGTAGTTGAGTATATGAATTAGGATAAATATTTGGTTCTACACCAACATTTGCATCACATCTTAATCGTCCATCTCGTGCTAATGGATGATATTGACGAGTCATAAAAGGACAATTAACTGAAACTTGATGAAAATTAACACCGTGTATCTCGATAAAGAAAACAGCGAAATAATAATAATGGATCTGGTTCTGGTTCAATGCCAGGTACTAAACTACCTATAAAGAGAAGATATCAAAATTGATAATTTTCTTATAAATTTACTAGGTGAAAAAGCAACTTGTTCAACATCTCGATGATAATTTTCTGAATTTCGATCTAAAACTAAACGTCCAAATTTCATAAATGGATATCGTTCTTCTGGTCAAATTTTCGTTGCATCAAATGGATCAAAATCAGTTATTTTATTAACTACACTTTCATCTATGATTTAAATTTGACATATAAATTCACATGTTTCACCATTATCCAAATGTTGCCAAAAATCACGTTTAGCATAATCTGGATCTTCACCACACATACGTGTTGCTTCAGCATTAGAAAAATTCTTAATATCTGCTACACAACTAAATTTATAACGTACATAAATATGTTGATTTTGAGAATTAACCCATTTAAATCTATGACATGGATATGCATCCATATGATGTCAACCTTTGATTTAAGAGAATATTTTATTTTATTTTATTTTTTCAAATATTATAATATATCATAATTTTCTTCATCGGTATAAAATTTCATAGCAATACCACTTGAATTACGAACTGAATTAGGAAATTCTCATCCATATGTTGTTATTGAAAATCGTATCATAACTCGTGTTGTTTTACCAAATTTTGATAAAAAATCAGCTTTACATAATGATGAAACATCATGTGTTACTTCAAAATAACCAAACGCTCCACTATCACATGCATGTACTGCACGTTCAACAATTTTTGATCGATTAAATGTTTGTTGTTTTTTAAATAATATACCATCAGATACAACTGGATAACGAACAATATGAAGATAATGAGACACCACACCAGCACGATATCCATTAACAGATGTTAATGTTGGTGGTATATAATTATTTGATATTAAAGGACTTAAAACTGATGAAACTTTATCTAATAAACTTGTATTATGAGTTTGTTTTACACCTTCTTGATTCAATGTACTTAGGATAATCAAATTGACCAGATTGTGCATCAATAATAGTTGTTAAAGAACGTTTATCAATATCCACTGGAGTACCTTGTGCATCGGTTAAGATCTAAAGATGATCTCTACCGGCAATTCGTTTCATAATTGATGAACCACCTTTCATTTTTCTTCTAATAAAACTTTACCTATAAATAACTTGTGCGTTGGCTGAAGACCAGAATAGTTTTCGTTGCTATAAATATATATGTGTGTAGAAGCTTGATAACGACAATAGAGTACAAGGCGAAAGAAATTGCAAAGAAATATCGACTCTCTATTTCTATCGTAACACAGTGGAAATAGGAAGTCAAAGGTGATTGCGCACAGAACTGATAAGAAGGGAACAATGCATTCAGAAACAAAGAAACTTTGATCAAATTTTTATCTTATTGTGTCACAAACAATATGTAAAGGTTTTGATTTCTATCACAAGCATTGTGAGTTAGTAAGAACTCAACATCTTATGACAGATTTATTTCTTCAAGTTCGTAATTATTCTGTAAAACAAAGCATATAAATTAGGTCTATAATGATTTATATTAAAAATAAAAACAAAGAGCTTGTTAGTGCAGCCCTTTTCGAGCTGAAACGTGAGTATCACATACGATTTCGTACATTAAAAACTGCTTTACTATTATTAGTGTACATATTAATACCTTAATTGTATACTCTTTCAACTGCTTGCTTTTCTCTTTTATTTTAAAACTTCAACCTATGTCTTTTATTATACTAATCTCATCTTTTTCCTAGCATAACTACAAGTGACAATACGATTTACAAGATTGGCTTATATATGCGATTTCTCTCAAAAACATACTCAATGACCCTTCAACGTCGATTAATAAGATCTGCAATAAAGAGAAGTACGAGTCGAAAAATTTTGAGTTCAAACTTGAACTCATCGTTTTCTTCGAAAATATATGTAAATGCCATAAAACCTTCATTTTTCATTCCAATAAAACATTAAACTAGTCCAAAGAATGAAATGTACTATCTATATTTAGAAATGTGAATACTTTATGAGAGTTTAATTGCTTTATACAAAGCTTAGTATATTTTTCTAATAAGAGTGGATAAGTATAAGATATTTTGTTGCAATACTGTTTCAAAAAGGTCTTAGCATACTAAGTGTGGTATTAAAATCTAAAGCATGATATAACTACTATTGCTTCTTTAAGATCATATTTCGCAAAGAATTGGTTTCAACTATCTCAGCATATTGACTAGAGGTAGCTCAAAGTTATATGATTTTCATACTTATCATAAACGACAAAAATGATACAAATTTTTAAAACTATTTTTCTTATCATTCTGAATCCAAAAAAAAGCAATCTGATAACTGAAAAAACTCTCTTTCTTTAATCATAATCGTTTTATATATCTACAATCAAATTAAAATTTTCAAAGCAAGATATGTTCTATTTCTTAAGTAACTCAAAGAAAACTTTGGTTGTATCACTTATTGAGAAAAACTATTTTTTTTCATACCAACTTTATCATTTAGTTGGACTTCTCTATATGATTCTAAGATTATTCGATATTGAACCGTATCTTAACTAAATTTTTACCATTATTCAATCGTCATAGTCAAACTTACTCTATTAAATTTGTATAAAAATAGAAAAAAACACGAGACTTGAAATATTCACTCTCAATATTTTATGCAAGCTGTTTAACAGCAAAAAATGAATATAAATTATTCGTAATTTTTATTACCGATTTCATTTCATGTAAAGAAAAATTGCCTATTTTTATTCTTCTTAAATTGACAAAACAATCTGTTACTTTATCAATTATTCTTAATTAAAGCAAAAAATTATTCATGAAATTTTCTAATTTTTATTATCTTTTGAACAAATAGCCAATTTATTTCTCTAAGAGTTTCAAATGCTATTTGAAATATTATTCTTCATGGAAAACATTAGACCAATTGACATAGATATGAGAGAAAAAGTCAAAAAAAAAAAAAATCTCAGCTTGTTTTACTACGTACAATTAAGATCATAAATCAATGGTAGACCAATTAATATGTGTGACGAATAACAATATCGACCACTGTATAGTTGATACATGTTGGTGTGTAATTGCATTTATTAGACAACGAACGATAATTGATCAGGGTGATGCCATTTGTATAGAGTAACGAGAAAAAAAATTAGAGTTTGTATGTATACAGATTAATTAAATTTAATGTAAAATATAACAAAAACTAGATCTTGGATTTCTTTACTAACTATGCTATAATAATAGATTTTATTTTATGAGGTGAACGATGAATAGGAAAAAAACACTTTTTTTTTCGGAACAGTCAAATCAATTAGAACTTATCTTTAAATGATTGATCTCATAGAGAATGAAAATCTTTATATACAAAACAACGAGAACTGTAGAGTAAAACCTTAAAAATTGAATTCAACTTTTACAAAATTTAAATAATTTGTATTCTAAATTGACTTTAATAATTTTGATTGATATGTAATTCTCAACTATTGATATTTTCTTAATAAAAATAATTTTGAATACAATTCAACAATTTTCACTCAGTATACAGACGTTCATAGACATGATGCATGTCAAAGACTGTTTAATTTTCCATGATTTTTTTAAATTGTTCATAATATTCTTTGATATTAATTATACTAACTACTGTATTTCGAAAATTCAATTACTACTCTCCAGGTATCTATAACCAGATTGCATCTTTGAAGTTAAGCTGTCTTTTTTGCATTTTTAGCAATATGCGGAATCAATAGCAAAATTTAAAGGAATGCCGAGAACCAGAATTCCTACGAGAAAAAAAGTTCTCCGAACTGAAACTGAAAATCATAGTTTTAATATTCTATTGTATTAACGAAATTATCTTATACATCATATGGATCAGAACATAAGCCGAAAAAGAATGATTCAAAAAGGGCTAGTCGTCGATTACACAGATAAAAAAACAAGTATTGAAGACTTCATTTAGATATAATACGAAAGAAATCTAGTACAGTTTCTTCTATACCGGAGATGAGAAAACTTAGCGTGACATGTTTATTATCATTTCTCTACTTAGGAAAAAAAAGACTCTTTTGATAGAAGAGAGAAAAGAGAATGGTTTATTCAGTAATTTTCATTGTCTGTTAATTAAACAGAGAGAAGAAGAAAAAAAAAATAGAATTATTCTTATTGGTTAATAAGAGAGAAAAAACGTAAAATAAATGTTGCATACATTTGTCAGAATTCACAATTTTAATTCTCTCACTTTTGTGTGACTTGAAAAATAAATTGAAATGCAGTACATAGGACAGGTAAGTTGATTAAAATATTTTTGTCTACTTTTACATTAAATTTCACACATACTCTCATTTGTAGTATGAACATGATCAAATTCAATATTATAATCAAGAAAATATTAGTATTACTTTACATAATCAAAATTTATGGAAACAATTTCATGAAATAACTAATGAAATGATGTAAGTAATTATTTGTTTGTAATCAACTATATATTTTATTTATAAGAGAGTTTTAGTGTTACAAAAGTTGGCCGTCGGATGTTTCCAATAATATCAATAATTATTCGTGGTTTAGATCCTGAAAAAATGTATACTATAGAATTATCATTTGATCAAATTGATTCTCATCGTTGGCGTTATGTTAGTAGTAAATGGCAACCAGGTATGAAACCTGAATTACAAATTCAACGTTTACTTTATCAACATCCTGATTCACCAAATTATGGTCGAAAATGGATGAACGATATAATAACATTTCCTAAAGTTAAATTAACAAATAAAATTGATCCAACTAGAACATCTCAGGTAAATTGAAACAAAAAATGTAAATAAGATGAAAAAAAAAAAATTTTTTTTTTTTTGTAGGTTTTACTTAATTCACTTCATAAATATAAACCAAAAATTTCTATTATTGATATTCTATTAAAAAAGACAATCTATGAAACAAGTTTTGATGAAACGGAATTTATTGCTGTGACAGCTTATCAAAATGAAGAAGTAAGACTTTTTTTGTTTGATTGAATGTTTTCTATCGATAAACATTTTTTCGTTTATTTCAGGTCAGAGCATTAAAAATAAGACATAATCCATTTGCAAAAGCATTTCTTGACATTGATAATACTAAAAGGTAAAAAAAAAAAAAACTGACAATGATAAATTATTATTTATAAGTTAAATAATATTGTTCTTGTAGAGAAATGGCAGAAGAACAAGACAGTCATGTTCCAATGTTTTATTCACAAGAATCATCATCAGGAGGACCAGATCGACTTAAAGTTCAATCATATCGATCAACACCTTATAGTCATTCTCATTCACAACGAAAATCATCACCAACGAATGGTATGATTAGATTTCATTTTCTATACTATTTTTGTTTCAAATGAAATTAGCGATAATGTTGAAAATTGATTCCGCATCAGACATGAATGATGGAAAAACTAAAATGGAAAGAAAATTTCTAGACGATAAAATTTACGAATAATATGTAAATGTCTCCCTTGATCATTAAGTTCATGTAGAAAAATGTACTATTTAACTGTTAGATAGAATTTTATAGTTCTGAAAATGTCTGAGAATTTTGTATGTCAAATTGAAAAACAAATATACCATTTGAATCATTAGGATGAATAAACTCCTGCCTCGATGCTTTTCTGACTTATCTCAGTTCGGTAGGTTGAGAGCAGTGGTCTTAAGAAAAACTCTTATAAACATTGACTAGGTCGAAAGTGAATGATTATTTCTATCTATCAATCATATTCAAAAAACAAGGTCGAATGAAAAATGAATCCATAATATCATTTTTAAAGTGTTCATCATGAATTAATCAGGATTTATGCAGTCTCCCATCTATGAAATATCAGCACGAGTTTAACTAGTTGATTCTTCTGTTGGTAATGTTGAAAACATCAATTCTTTTTTTTGTTTCGACCTGAATGGAAGCATATTACAAAAAAAGCTATCTGATTTTTCTTTATAATTGAAGTGAAATACTTTTAGTCTAATGTCGATAGTGGATCAGAGTGTCAATGATTTTGATTTTTTTTAGTTTTTGCATATCCATCATCGTCAACTTCACCGTTTGATTTATCAACATTCTATCCTCCAATACCATCAACTAATATTCCATGCTCATCATCATCATCGCCTCCATTATCGGATGGTACTACTTATTATTCGAATCCATATTATCCACCACCATCTTCATATTATTTTCCATATGCAGCATCATCATCATCATCAATAGGTCATTATCCATTTATTACTCCTTTCAATTATCCTTTAAATAATAGTTTAAATCAAGAAACAACATCATTTTTACAGATGCAACCACCGATGTCTATTTCATCAACTGATAATAATTATTTGACTTCATCATCATTAGTAAAACATAATATTGAACACTATTAAATAAATTCGTCTATGTTTATGTGTGTAAAAACTATTTTCATTAGAATTTCGAAATAAAAGAAAAATAATTTTTCATCGTATGAGACAAGAAGATTATTGATTAATTAAAAATGAATCTGATGAAAAGAGAATAGAATATGAATTGACTGAACTACTGCCCTTGTTAGATATTAATGTAATATCAGGATATTTTAATATAAATTCCAAGGATACTGTGTCTATTATATAGAAAAGTGTTCATCATAGTATGGAGTGAAGTAATGAAAAAGCTGTTTGTACAAAATCTTTGAGACTAACATATGGAACACAATTTAGCTGCTGTTGCTAATCGGACGGGAATCTTGTTTTTATTCTTTCAATTTTGAGTAACATTTGATCATTCTTTTACTTAATACTTCAAAAATGCAATAAGAAAATAGTCTATATATATAGCCTTGTACTTCAACATTGCTTTTAGATCGTGCCTCACAAAATAGTGATGACCAACTTTGTGAGAATGTTGGCTAGTTGTATTGTCAATAAATATAAATACTAGAAAATAACCAAACATCACTATTTATGTGTTAATCTTTTTGCATCATATATATGAAAATTGAATAATAACTTTCCTTTTATTTCTGCTACATGTGTATCTGTGCCATAAATTCTTACATTTATACAAAAGGAAAGGTATTCGAATCATTGATCATTACTCAGATTTGTTGTTGAAATAGTACATCTTTGGATCATAGGATTGAATCAAAAAGAACTTATATGATTAAGGTATGGTAATCGTTGCTCAACAAGTTATTATTACAAAACATGGTAAAGAATTTTATTTCTAATATGATATTAATGATGAAAATATACAAGCATTAATTAATACACTTATTTATCCTAATAAAATTCTTGAAAAATTATAACTTGAATAGAATAAGATAATTTATAATTCTTGTATAGAACCTCTAGTAAAAATACTTCGTACAAAACTGATCATTTAAAAAAAAACACACTTTGAATTTTGGGAATATAAGTTTTTAGAAATTAGTAAAAACACAGATTTATATTATTAGAGCAAATAATATTATACTGTTATTATTGTTATATATTTCAGATTTAAAATTTTCTTTGTTAGAAAATAAGTTTTTAAATACTTCGAACAAATAATAAAAATAAGATGGATTCAAAATAATTGATGTTCTTATCAAAATTCATAGTAACAATCCTTTGTGAAATGAATCTATGGCTGATTATAATCGTTCCGATATTTTGGAATTCATTTATTTCGAAAAATAATCGATTTCCATATAAATTTCTATTACTTATTTTTTTTCTCTGTTGTTACATTTATCATAATTTCGAATTTTATTTTGTCTTTGTTTTTTTTTTGGCAATTGTAAATATTAGAGAAACAAAAAAATAATGCATCTGTTCTTATTCAAATAAAAAACACACACACACACACATGTTCTTTTTATTTCGCATCAAATTTATTGAATTCATATTTTATTATTCGCAGAATATTGTTTTGAAAAATCTGTACTTAACACTAGTGAAAATAATTGACGCACTTGTTTAATACAATCGTCATATATGAACTTTGAAAACAAAAAGAATCAATAAAACATATACTACAAAATATAGGTTACATATGTGTACAAACAGGTGACTTAGTTACATTTGTTTAGATTATGATGTCATTGTTACATAGTGAAATTTATTTCATTTCAAACATGTAAAAATAGATTTATTTTCGATGATTGACACTATGATTTTTCTTTTGTCAATTAAAAATTTTAATTTTCTTGTTATAAGATATTATTTATAAAAATTCATTCAACAAAAATTTTCATTTGATTCCATATTTTGTCTTTTTGTTATTGTTCTCATTTTTATTGAACCAGTTAAAAAAAACCTAGTAACTTTGATTTGAATACATTTGCGGTGTAATGAAATTATTATACGTCAAACTTTGAGTTCGATGTATGTTTCAAAAATAAACGTAAAAAAAGAAAAAGTTGGTCAGTACATTACATTTACCAAACGTACATTTACACAGTCGGCAGAACAAAACAAAATTTTATTCGGTAAGGAATTTTAGCTTTTTGAAAAATTATTATACAGTAGTTTTCTTAGTAAGAAATAAGAATTTTCTACTTAAATTCATCAAAGCATTTTAATAGTGAAATAAATTTGGAATCATCCATAAAAATCATATTCTTTGACTCGTCTTCCTTTTGGAATTTTCGGTAAGCTCAATTGAACCCAAAAATTTCGAATCAAAACCCTGTTGAATCGTACTTTAGTATACAAGATACTTGTTCCCCGGTTTTTTGTATTCGATGACTAGTACACTCTACACATTTCATTCCAGAAAAAGCCTGTTTATTCAAATATACAGCTTCTTTCTTTATTAAATAACACTTCATTAAATAAATATATCAAAAAAATACAAATATATAAACACACATTTCATAGACAAAAAACAACTATATAACCTATTACAAAGCTTTGGTTTTCTCAATAGTTTCTATTTTAATGAGCACAAAATTCTAAGAACAAAAAATGAAGTTCAATATCAATCTCATATAGGTACTTGACAAAATAACTGCCTGTTCATGTAGCATAATCTTGAGTTATTCTAGTCACACCCACACCCAATCATTGGCTTATGCCAATCCTTGAAATCAGATTGAAGTGGGCGAAAAAATTATCATGTTTATCTGATGTAGGCCTAAAGTGAATTTCTCGTAGAAGAATATTCGCTGTCGATAATAATTCAACGGTTACTTGAATAATCTACTAGAAAATGATGCAAAGTGTACATCATCAGTGCTGTAATGATTTTTCAAAGAGTAAATTCTAGGGATAAATGACAGAGAATGAGACATTCATTGTTAGCACCTACGCCTCGAAAAAGTCGACTTCCATTAGAAAAACTAAAAGTGAGATAAATGATCAGGAAAATATAGTCTGAGGTCTGGTCTGTCAATGACAATACGGTTTTTAGTTTAGAACCTCGTTTTTTTTTATTAAGGTTTTTGATAAATTCGGTCATTTTCAACTTGAAAAATACGCTTTTTTAGTCCATTCGATCCATAGTTCTCTGTGAATTTTCATTCTTTATATTTAAGTGTTTTTTGTTTACAAGAACATATCAAGATGCATACCATGGCAGAATCTCTTCCTTGAGATTAAGAGAAATATTACGGATTAGCAAATGAACTACATTTTAACCCTTGTTTGTTGAATATCTCCTGAAAATTTCATGCAACTTGAATGAACAATAATCACAGCTTGTTAAGTTTGAAGAGTCAAGTCATGTACTACTTGCTCTTAATAGATCCACTATTCTCAGCATCATATACGAATGAAATACAGTGTTCATTCAATGAGTGCTAGTGAACAACCAAGAAGTCTAGAATGGATTGGTTTCCTAGGCCTTCGTTACTGAGATAATACAACTCTTTCACATCACCTGGAAGATCGACTTGCGAGTTCAAACCTCAAATTTTTCACAAACAAAGTTTTCAATGATATTCGCTCATTAATGCAAGTTGTAACTTTTGTGATTTTTCCTATCTTGAGATATGAATGTAGGAATAAAAATTTGCTTTTACACGTAAGTATATATCAAATATGTCCTATATTTAGACTGAAGATACTAGATTAGCTACAACTTGCATAATGAGTTAATTTCATTGAAAACTTTGTTTATGTAAAATGTAAGATTGAAATTCGACAATCGCGTTTTCAGGTAATCTCATGGGGATTGCAGCTTCTCTTTGAAGAATATCAGCACAATTTTAGTATCTCAAAAACGAAGGCTCGAAAAATAAAACTATTCTGGACTTTTTAATGTCTCATTAGTACTCATTGAATGAATATAGTCTTATTCAAAATCGATTTAATATCTGACGAAGTTCTTTGGTCATTCCAAGTATTGATAAATTTTCGATTCGCTAGATCCTACAGATCAATTCAATAAATGAACTGCACTGTTCTTTAGTTTGACGTGAATTTTGAATCGAATGAAGTTCATAAAGAATATTGTTGATCATATAAATTTTATAAAATATCTAGAAACTAAAATATTATTTGTTTTTGTTTGTCATTTTTAAAGAAAATGATAACAACAATACTATATAGTAATTATGAATATATGGACAAAATGTCTATTAATAAAGATCTTAAATGTGACTATTGTAATAATCCATTTGTTGAACCTGTGTCAACACCATGTAATCATATATTTTGTCGAGTATGTATTGAAAATAAAATTAAAAATACAGATGGAACTTGTGCAAAACCAAAATGTAAAAATAAATCAATTACATTAGAAAATTTAACACCAGTTACAAAACATATTATTTTAAATATGCTCGATCGTCTACTTGTTAAATGTACTAGTTGTGGTATGGCAAATATTGAACGTAGTGCATTTGAAAAACACTATACTAAAACATGTCCAAAAGCAATTGTGTCTTGTACAGCAATAGATATTAAATGTCCATGGACAGGACCAAATGATCAATTAAAACAACATATTTTTTCATGTATTTATGAACAAATTCGTCCTGTCATTAATGAAATTATTCAAGATAATCGTCAATTAAAAGAAAAACTTCAACAAATGTCTGAACAATATTTAAAATATCATCAATTACATATAAAAGAATTACAAGAAATAAATCAACGTTTAAATAAAATTGTAGAACAATTAAATGAAATATTATATCAAGAAAAAAATCAATTAAACGAATTACAAAATGAAATGCAACAATTAAAAGAATTAATTATACATAATAAAACTCATATTAATGAATTACAAATTGAAACTCAACGTAAAAAAAATGAAATCATACATATTGAGGAACCTTGTAATAAAAATGAAAAAAAGTTATCATCTACTATTATTTTTCATGTTTTATTTCAGATGTATATTCTTATAATAATTCTCAACTTGAAAACAATATATCAAAATGTCAATCACATACAACAATTGATTTATCGAAACATCAATTGCTTGATCGTGATATGGAAATTATTATAAAACAAGCAATAATTGAAAAAGAATGTACAAGACTTGATCTGAGTCACAATTTTATTACATCAATAGGTACATCGATTTTAGCTGATGCATTAAAACATAATACAACATTAGAAGAATTAGATTTTCATGATAATCGTATATCAGATATCGGTGTTCAATCATTAACAAAAATTTTATCATCAAATACTTCAATTATTAAAGCACTTGGTCTTGGATCAAATGGTATTACAGATAAAGGAGTTGAATATTTAGCTGAAATGTTAAAAATAAATCGAACAGTTACATGGTTAGCATTAGCTGGTAATCAAATCGGTGATCGTGGTGTACGACTATTAGCAAATACATTAGCTCATCAAAATTCAACTTTATTAGTATTATCACTTCATGTTAATAAATCTATCAGTGATGAAAGTATTAATGTTATCATTGATATGTTACAACATAATAAATCATTAAAGAAACTTTGGATATATGATTGTAATATATCAGAATATGGAAAAATGAAACTTCGAGAAGCAACAAAATCGAAACAAAATTTTTCACTTTATATGTAAATAAGAGATTAAATTTTATTTTATAAAAAATAAAAAAAACTAAACATGTTCGAACAGAACAATTGAAAATTGTTCGAGAATAAAGTGTGATAGAAATTTGTTATTAATTTAAATATGTTAGATGAATAGTCAAACAAACAACCTTTTATTCTTCGCTTGTGTGAATGTGGGCAAGTGTCGGTCTGAGACTACATCCCACAATTCGTTGATACACGTTTTAGTGCATCCATATCAGTATAAAAATTGAATGCGTTAAATACCTAGAATACGTCCAGCTGTGTTTGAAAGTTAAATGAGTAACACTATGTATATAGCTATATAAACCTTGGTAAATAAAATATCCGAGTAAATCAGAAAATAAACAAAAATAAGATTAACGACTAAAACGAAAATAGAAACATGAAGAATAGAAGAAAAATTATTTAATATTCAATAAAGAAAACAAACAGAAACAAGGAAAATTGCGACCACAAAATATTTTTTTTTTGGAGAAAAGAATAGTTCTATATTCAGATGAAAATATCAGATATTCAACATGAATGTTTATGAACATAAACAAGATCATTAACAAAAAATCATTTTAAATATCAATAAGAAACGTTTCACCAGATGTTTCTTGCTTAATTTTAACAAATTTTTTGGTTTAAATAAAACAAATAAATCATATTCAACGACATGTGATATTCAGTTCAAGTAATCGAGAAACAGAAGATTTATTTATGATGAATATTGATAAGTAAGATGTATGTGTCAATAAGTTTGTAAATGGCAAGCGAATCGATCTGTTTCTATTAAACAATTTCTCTGTTGTATTATTTAACAAAGAAAATCAAAATAATAATGGTTATATATGATCATCTATTATGAATATGAGATTCAAAGATGAGAGTTGCAACAAAGACCTATGATTGAGAGATTATTTTCTTCGTAATAAACTCTTTTTCTTTCGATTAATTCTTAATGTGTTCCATCAATATTCCACCTCGAAAATGCCACTTCCGAATTCGTTTTTCTTTCACATTTGTTCACAAATAATTTCAATTATTATTCAATTAGTAGATTAATTGTTTCATTTGACATGCACTAGTCGCAACAAGTACCAGTTTTTCTCCGTACTTATCCTCGACGAAATCACTTTCTTTCCTAACTTACATATGTACGTGAATCAATGAAACATGACATTCACATCAAGTAGTCAAGTTTTCTTCATCAATGTATCGATCATCACGTGTATTTCGTTCTTTCCATGTTTTAGCTTATTTTTTTTGTTTACCTTTTCGTCTTACGCTGTTACTATGAAAAAATAAAAACAAATATTTATATATACGAGAGCATTAGATCTGACATTCAGAATTTCTCTCTTATGCATAAACGAAACATTCTTCTTTTGATTTTCTTACGAGAGCAATGTTAGCAGTGGAATGTTCGATATCGGATTTCTTCATCATCTTGACTCCTTCCATCAATCACACAAACTTCTTCGCTTAGAAGGTTCAATTGATAGATTTTAGTGATTGTCGGAATCATGTAAAACGGATGACATACTTTGTTGTTTGTTAAAGGGTGTGAGTAGCTTGCATACTTCAAGCGTATTTGTTAGTTCAAACTATTTATCAATAATCTAAACCTGTACGACCCGGCGTGTCTTTACTAAACGATTGGATAATGCTCAGGCGCCATTTCAGTAACAGCGTCTGGCAATGATAGGTAAGATATCTGTTTCTATTTGTTCGAAGTCTTCCTTTCGGGCATTATATACATTGAATTGCACTATCGATCTTAGAAAACGGAAAAAACTGACACCTGTCATCCGATTTATTGAAAGAGAATGTAGGTGTGCCTGTGAGAATATCAAGATCAGCAGACCGAAGATCTATACTCACAACTGTTAAACAAAATTATTAAATACAAATGTTAATGAGCTTGCCAACAAAAAAAAGGTAAAGTGGTTGACCCTTTTTGTGCCGTTCGATAATATATAATGAAGAGAACGTTAGTTTGAGGGAATTCAAATTTACTTGTTGAAGTCTAATATCCCATTTGGTAAGACAAAAGATAATAACAATAATCGCTATGTTACTTGTGTGTGTAAATTAAAAAGACAAAAAGCAAGTGTATTAGTCATACCTCAATCGTGAAGCATTTCCTTGGAGTATCGCATTTTTATCACATGATCCTATTGATTTTCACATTCATTCAAATTTTCTTCTTCAAGTATGGATGTAGGTGTGCGTGTTAAGCTGCCATGACACATATTTCGATATCGCTTAAGGGTCTCATCAGAGTACGGCGTGAGTGTGGCTGTTGGTGTGAATTTGGATTTTAAAGAAAACAATCCCACTGTGGAGCTTTGATGTCGACACACCCACCCACACCCACACCCACACCCTCAAGATCTACACTTCATACCCACATCCACATTCGGTGCAAAAAAGATTCGATAAACAAAACTCAATCTAAAAATTTCTCTAGTCAAAATAAAATAAACGTCACAAAGAACAGAAAGTATCCTGAAAATGAATGAAAGCATCATTCAAACAGTGAAGTCACGGCTGATCACCACCAGAGTTTTAGCCATTTCTTTCCACTACGAAGCATTGTCGCTCGTCGTGCATCGTATCCGATACGATTTCCTCCAAGGTGGAGTGTTGTCAGTGTCTGTGTGAAAATTCTCGATGATCTATAAGAAGATGAATAGTAAATGGCGATTACTGGGTTCTTAGTGACAGCATTGACTAGAACTTCCGCACCTTGAACACCAATTCCGCTGTCTGCAAGATCAAGTTTGGTGAGTGTCTATATGCAAATATACATTGTCTTAAGAAAACTGGTTAGAAAACAATGTATTACCGTGTTGTATCTGAGAGCATTAGCAAGACACTCTGCTCCTTCGTCCCCCACATCATTTATTCGAAGGTGCAGGCTTCTGAGTGTCTGTGTGAAAAGTTCAAATTCTTTAGACGACGATTCATAAGGAATGCTGCCTTACCGTGTTACTTATGAGAGCACTGGCAAGATGCAGCGTACCTATAACTTTGATTCTATTTTTTCCTACGTCAAGTGTGGTTAGTGTCTTTGTGAAAACTTCTAATTGCTTAGCAGAAGAACAAAACTAAATTGTTTATTACCGTGTTCTTTATGAGACCATCCGCGAGAAACTTAGCTCCCTCATCATAGATTGCGTTGCAAGCAAGATCAAGTTCGGTAAGTGTCTGCATGAAAAATCTAAGTTGTACAAATGAAGATGAGCATCAAATATTGTATTACTGTATTGTTTATCAGAGCATTGGCAAGATACCTCGCTCCCAAGCGTCCGATACAATTCTCTTCAAGGTCAAGTGTTGTGATTGTCTGCGTGAGAATCCTAAATTGTTTAGCAGAAAACTGAAAAGCAAAATGTGTGCTACTGTGTTGTTTTTCAGAGCATGAGCAAGATGCTCCGCTCCTACATGTCCAATATTGTTCTGTTTAAGGTCGAGTGTTGTAAGTATCTATGGTAAAAACGCTAAACCGTCTAGAAGAAGATGAGTTGCCAATCGTTTGTTACCGTGTTATTTGTGAGAGCCTTAGCGAGATGCTTTGCTCCTTCATCACTGATTTCATTACAGGCAAGGTTGAGTATAGTGAGTGTCTGTATGAAAAATCTAAGTTAACCAAAGCAAAATGAGCAACAGATGATGTAACACTGTGTTGTTACTGAGAGCATTGGCCAGATGCTCTGCTCCTTCTTTTCCGATCTTGTTACATTCAAGATTGATTTTAATGAGTGTCTGTATTCAGACTGAAGGTTCACAAGATGAAGATCAACAATGAATGGTGTATTACCGTGTTGCTCGTAAGAGCATTCGCAAGATGTCTCGCCCCTTCATGTCCTATAATATTTCGTTGAAGCTCAAGTGCAGTGAGTGTCTGTGTGAAAACTCTAAATTGCCTAAACCAAAATGAGCGGTGAATAGCGTATTACCGTGTTCTTTGTAAGTGCACTGGCAAGAAGCTTTGTTCCTTGGACGTCAATGACGTTATCAGCAAGGACGAGTGTCTTAAGAGTCTGTAGATATTCTCATTTGCTTAGGTGAAGATGTGCAGCAAATCGAATGCTACCGTATTATTTTTGAGAGCATTAGCCAAATGTTGTACACCTTCGGGTCCAATTAGATTACAAGCAAGATTGAGTGAGGTAAGTGTCTGTATGTAATCTATAAATTGTTTGCACTTTAGAGAAAATGGTAGAATAATTATCCTTTGGTCTAAATACCCTTTTTCATAACCCGTTAACGATTCATTGCAGCGCTAGATATTCTTCAAGGATTTATGAAAACAAGGGTATTTAAAAATAGGGAGGATTTATGACTAGTAAGAAAAAGAGTTTTATGATTTTTTTTTGATAAGGTTTCATTACTCTTTTCTTTGACAGGAAAGACTAATAATTCGACACTTAAGGTTTTATTATTGAAGCTACTTATTAATAGAGTTTATCTTTTTATGTAGAAGAATATTTTGTTCTACGTTTTCGGGAACGCGAATTCCCAAGTCGATCGTTCCGGTCACCGGATACTGCAGAAACCGGCAGGAAAGACGTGGAAAGATCGCCGGTTCCTGCAGGAAAACACCGGAAATCAACGGAACATGGAAGCAGTATTCCGGCCGAAAATTTTTCGGACTTTTTCCGGCGGGTTCCTGCCGGAAAGAACAGGAATTGGCTGGAATCCACCGGAAAAAAATCCGAAAAATTTCCGACCGGAATACTGCTTCCATGTTCCGTTGCTTTCTGGTGTTTTCCTGCCGGAACCGGCCGGTACTTTTCGACCTGGGTTGTTATTCTATGCTGAAAAGTAAATTATTCCAATGTTTTGATCATGGCTTAATTAGTTATAAACAAGATTGATCAGCCTAATTCAGAAAGTTTCGTTTTTTGTAGAACTCACATATATTTTCAAACAGCATAGTGAGCATAAGTTGTAAGTCGATATTTTTTCGGCTCCCTACTCTCACTCCCCTGC